GTAGAGTATTTGAAATATCATCATCAACTGCATGAATCATTATAATAGGGTATCATCAGCATGCTATTTCAAATTTTTCTTCAGTAAACGGGTGAATTTTAAAATTTTGTGGCGGAATTATTCGGTATGTTAAAAAGTACCACACATCTACGCACTTTGTACGGTAAATTTGTCGGAGGAAAAACCATGAATAATCGAGAATATTCCAGAATTTACTCCCTTTTTCAACAGCCAATCTAGGATTGAACTGTGATTTATCAGAAGAGAGTGAGGGAGAGAAAACAAACTGCCGCCATGTCATGGGATTCCTCAGACAGTGCAGCACAAGATTTCATCAAATTGAGTTGTGTGTGATTTGTGTGTAAAAAAAAAGTTCCATTGTTGTGTGAATCAATCTTGGGGTTAATTTGAAATATACTTTTATCTTCCTTTCGGGATTTCATAAGGAAATCCCCAGCTGAACCCCACAGCTGATTCTGTGTTCCATTTTTGAATTCTGCCTTTTTTGTGTAGATCTAATCCACAATTTTGTATCAGGTTATTGCATGATGGGTTTGCAACAATTGGAAGATTGGTCAGGAGCAATCTCTTATTATTTCATGAAAACCGAAGTCCAGTCATTGTCGTATCCTCTACCCAAATTGGGGGAAACAGCACGACATTGGCAAAATTTATCATTCAAATTTCAGGCTTCTTCACTTGAAATTCTTGAAATTTTTGGCTAAATTTACACATGGATACTATTGACTTGACAAGGGTTTCGGAAATGCCAAAACATGATCCACTGCACCCAAGGGTACGACGAACGTTAAGGCTTTTTTGTGCAATAAAGAAGCAAGCATTTGACTCCTTGAGGCATGCCTCTTCCTTGTATTTCCATTAATGGGATAGTTTGGCTGGCAAATAGACGAATGAGGCCAAGACTCTCTCACACATAAAAAAAAAGAGCCCATGAACAGCAGAATGTTTTGCCTATTCTGGAGCATGTCTCCCTCTTGCTGGCTGTAACTCAGAATGCAAGTGCTCATTCTGCACGTGGTATGTCGACCGACAGACTCAAACAGAAAAGGGGATTCGCTTCCCACGATACAGGCAATAAATATTCGAACAAAAGGTAACGAATATTAGAAAAAAAAAAGGTACAGTAGTTCGTATTTAGATAATGCGTAAAGAGTACGAGGGAATTATTTAATTTAAAACACAGAATTTCCAAAAAATTCCGAAATTGGAAGCTCTTGACGCGTGAAAGACATTGATAATACATTTTGATGAATTGATTCACATTACATACTGTATGCATACATGCCAGATGTCCAATTGGATTTTGTGGGTTGTATTTTCTTTTATTTTTGTTATCCATTTGTGCTCTGTTTCCTGCTCTGAAGTGATTAAATGTCTTTGAGTGGATTTGGGTTGGGTGGGGAGGGGGTTTGGATGTGGAAATCTTGATTGAACCTTGTGAANTGGGTGGGGAGGGGGTTTGGATGTGGAAATCTTGATTGAACCTTGTGAACGCTGAAAAGCGGTAAATAAAGTGTTCTGTTCATTCATTCATTACATACTGTACTAAAAACGACAAAAGTATAAATATGTGCCTACAAAATCAACCTCAATAATTCTTTACGTTAAACCCTTTCACAAGTAAATATATACGAACTGTTTAAAATCTTTGAAAGCTCTCAAAGTTAATAAAATTGGCAAAACTTTTCATTGATAAATATATAATCACTGCTGCACTAGCACTTTCATTAAACATGCTCACAGACCCAACACCTCTATGATGTGGTTTCAATTTAATATTAATGCAGCATCCATTAAAATCTCAAAATATTTAGAAGCAAGCGTAGGTTTTCTTACTTAAAATTAGATTAGATTATTGAGTCATCATACCGCAGTTTTTGAATGGAAATTTTAAAATGCTGATCGACTTCTGAAAGGAAATGTTTGTGTTTTTTGGGGATTTCCCCATACAAATAAGATTCATGAGCAAAACACCACAATCAGCCAATCAGGGATTGGCTGGGAGCCTCCTTATTGAGGCTCCTAGAAATTGATTATTTATTAATGCCCAAAAAGAATGAACAACTCAGAATCATCTGCAAGAAAAATACACAAACACAAAATTTCTCAGAGAATCAGTTTAGGAAATGGAAGCTAAGCATGGGGATGATATTCTCAATGATAATGTGCTGTTGAATTCAAGTATTTTAGGCTCTTATGCATTAATTATTGGGGAAGGATTGTGTTAAACTTGTTTGATGTGAAGATTGGGATTCTTTGCTGTTTTCTGATCGGTCAAGAGGGGTAAAATCAAAGACAATATGCAGCATTGTCTACAAGTTTTGAAGGTTCTTGGGGGGCAAGTTCTTTGATGCTGGGCTCTCCATAAGCCCCAAGAGGGTTCCAGGGATTCAGGGTGGATTATTATACAGTATTTCATTTCCGCCATGCGCCTCAGTCCCCAGCAGTTTGAGAAAGGATTTTCATTACTTGTTCGGGGTTTTTTTTTTTCTCCAATTTATTGGTGAACATAGATATAGACAGGCAATATAAAACGAACCTTGCTTTATTTGGGTTCCATTATTGGACTCTTTCGCGTAGCCGGCGGCATCTACTTCATAAACGGACCCTTCGTCATTCACGAACAGTGAATCCTGGTCAGCAGGCTTGCTGTTGCCATTGGCAACAACTTCTTGGTCATTTCCGGTGACGGTTTCCTGGTTGATTTTGTGACTGGCATCGCTTTCGGGCTGCACTTGGACGACAATGTCATCCGCCACAACCGGTGCGGAACTGTCCTCCTCGTCGTGCGAACTCTCGCAAGGGCTTTTAATGCGTGAAAACAAATTCCCCATCGAATCCT